TTATGCGTTTATTGGGATGCACGCTGTGTTTTTGTCGTTATATGGTGGGAACGAAATGATTTTAATCTTATATTCGAGGTGGTGAGGTTTTTTGTTAGCACCCATTGAGTCCCTGTTGTGACTTACTTGTTCGTTTTGGAGGAAGCACTATTGGATCTTATTGGATTACTTGGGGCACCATTTATGTTATATGTTGGTCCCTTTAGGACCTCGTTATTGAACACTTGTCACACCGTGATTATTTATGAGTTTTTTATTGCACTATTTAATATTGTGTGTTTATATTATTTGTGTGTCACTAATTTTGCACTGTTTCACTTATTCATTTATGTGTGATGGAATTTTTATCAGGTAAGTAGCGCTGCATCATTTGTGTTTCATTTAATTTTTTTGTCTATGGGATATACTGAACTGTGTAGCAGCTTTACCTTTGTTTTGGTAGGTATTAGTTTTCTTAGGTAGGAGCGCAGGAGTTTGTCCACATTGAAAGAGTTCCAGATTAATTTTGACAAGTGCACTGGACCACTAAGACTAGTTTTATAAATGTTCTTGGCTCGGATAGTGAATTCAATGTTAGAAATGTGTTTATTCCCATTAGATTCAGCAAAAAAATTCAATCCTTGACCTTCAATGTTTTAACTTGTTGCAGCCTTGATCTTGATGAAATTGTTTCCTTTTGGTCTAAGATCACTGAATTTCTGAAAACAGCAATTTTCTAATAAAAGTTTACAGGTGTAAGGTTAGCTTAAATGCTGGCCATAGATAATGTGACTTTCTTTCCTGCAACACAAGGGTTGCAGGAATATGAAAACAACTTAATTTCCCCATCAAATACAGTCAGTGTTGATGAGAGAATCCCTCCTAGCTATCATGTTTCCCCCCTGATGGGGGAAATTGTTTTGCCAGGTTTTCCTGACACCAAGACTAAAATGTATGACAGGGGATGGACTTCCAGCCGTGATTTGACAGCCTCAGCTCACAGTTACTGTGAGCTTGTGTGATAGGGGGATGTGGTCCCCTTCCCTCCAATCACCTCTCAGAAGCTCTTCTCACTGAGCTCTACAGTGTATAACTTCAGCTCCCTGCCCCCATTTTTTTGGAAGTTCATGTACTAAGGCTGCATACATTTTGGACTTTTGAATGGATTGCTAGAGAAGAGAAGACTGTAGATAAACAGGTAAACTCTATGTAGGAGAATTTGTTTCATCTCTTATGTATTACATGAAGGCCAGTCACTTCACTGGGTATATGGAAGGCGTTTTCATTGCACTGCCGGCGCCCGCCATATAAGGACAATTATGGACACAGGCGGTGGTTCTTCCTTGTTCTGGCGAGCGAACGTCCATATGATGTCCTCCCACCTTAGTAAACCGGTGCGTGGGCGAGCAAGCGTTGGCGATCGGTGGTGCGCCTGTGTACCTGGGACACAGCGGGGGTTCAGCCGATCAGCGGGAAATATTCGATGACGTTGGTCTCCTGTCATGTGATCAGCTGTGTTCCAATCACAGGCTGATCACATGTAAATAAAAAAAATGCCGGTCATTGGCATTCACCTCTGCTCATGAGCTGTCACGGATGACAGAGGGAGATCGAGAGCGGGTAATCGGCATTCCTCAGAGGGGACAGTGTAGCCCTATTTTCAGTGCCACCTGCCAGTGTCATCAATTTTTTTTTTTTGCCACCAATGTCAGTGCCCCATCAGTGCCACATATCAGTGCCTACCAGTGCACGATCAATGCCCACATATCAGTGCCCATCTGAGCTGCCTTTCAGTGCCAGTTTGTAGTGCCACCTAATCAGTGCCAGTCAGTGCCGTCTATCAGTGCTGCATATCAGATGCCACCTATCAGTGCCAGTCCAGTGCCACCTATCAGTGCCAGTCACGCCACCTATCAGTGCATGGCCAGTCTCAAGTGCTTTGCCTATCAGTGTCAGTCAGTGCCACCTATATCAGTGCCAGTCAACGCCAACCTATCAGTGCTGCCAATCAGTGCTGCCTATCAGTGCCAGTAAGTGCCGCCTATCAGTGCCATATATGAGTTGCTGCTTTTCAGTGCCCATCAGTGATGCCTGTCAATGGTCCCCCATCCAGTGCCTCCTCATCAGTGCTGCTTATCAGTGCCCATCACTGCAGCCTATCAGTGCCCATCACTGCAGGCTCATTAGCACACATCAGTGAGGAGAGAAAAATCACTTATTTACAAAATTTGACAACAGAAACTAAGAAAAAACTTTTTTTTTTCAAAATTTTCAGTTGTTTTTGTTTTTTTTTTAGCAAAAAATACCAAAACCCAGATTTGATTAAATACCACCAAAATGATAGTTCTATCTGTCTCAAAAGAAATGATAAAAATTTCATATGAGGTACAGATGTTGCATGGTCGCGCAATTGTCATTCAAAATGCACAGCGCTGAAAGGTGAAAATTGGCCTGGGCAAGAAGGGGGTAAAAGTGCCGGCAGGCAAGTGGTTAAAGGAATCAGGGTATCTCCACAATAAAAGATACATGTTAAACCCTATTCTGATTAGATGATCATGATGACCTCTAAACACACAACGGGTGTCAAACTGGCAGCCCTCCAGCTGTTGTCAAACTACAAGTCCCATGAGGCATTGCAAGATTGAATCTGTTACAAGTATGACTCCCAAAGGCAGAGGCCTTTATGGGACTTGTAGTTTGGCAACAGCCGGAGGGTCGCCAGTTTGACCCACCCTGATCTAACAGATGACCCTTATGCAGCAGAAGAATGATGACCATAGAAAATCTATTAAATATGCAGATCACCGGTCTTCCAAGAAAAGATGAGAGACAAATCTGGAGAGTCATTTTATAGAATCTTGGCTATGGGACCAGTCTCCCCAGAAGCCAAACAGCATTTACCGTGGAAAGGGTCTATTAGACATCTGCCTATAGGGGGAAGACTATGACCATTGCTGGCCAGACTCACATTAACCTCCCTGGCGGTATTCCCGAGTGTAGCTCGGGGTAAAGTTTCAGTACCACAAGCGGTAACCCCCGAGCTACACTCGGGCTTACCATGCGACGTGATGCTCAAGATCTCTTCTTCTCTTTCTCTTGTCCTGCGCTCCCGCGATGTCCCTCCGGCAGTGTCCCCGGCAATGTCCTCCCAGGCCGATGCCCCGGCATTCTGTCATCTGGGTTCCATTCCCTGCGATGTCAGGATGCACGGAGGACGGAACGCCGGGAAAATTTGAAAATGACAAAAAGTGACATTCTCACTAAATCCTAAAAATCACATAGTATAACATTCCTGTATCAAACCATTTCATCATTACATTTTGTCCCGAGTGCTTTGTCTCTGTCCCCTGCCTGCATTTTTACTGTTTCTTTCTGCCTGGAAACTGAGAAATGTCCATGGCGTCCAAAAAAGCGTCCCTTTAGGTGAAAGCGGTTTTAGACCGGCTACGAGAACAGCGGATAGTAAATCAGAACCACTTGCAGAATTGAGTGATGATTTCGATGGTGGGGAAATTCCTCATCAGACCACTGAAAACGATTCTGCGACTTTGCTCAGTGATGTGCGAACTTGGCGATTAAATATTTCAAATTTCTGTGTTTTTTGGTTTGATTATATTATTGTAATTAAATTTTTATTATTATTATATTATTATTTTTATGATTATTTATTAAATTATAATTTTATGATTTCGTGTTTCAAATTTTAACATAACCGGGATGTTTACTAGACTCTTGTTTGGACAGATTTCAGTGAGTTATTCCTAAAAATTACAGCCTACATTACAAAAATACATATTCCCATGCAAAAAAATGTACCGCTTTGAGCACTGAAATAATGACATAATCATGACCGCCAGGGAAGTTAATTGCAAGGACTGCAGACTCATTCTGAAAAAAACCTCAATTATCACATTATGAAAACACTGCAATATCCATATTAAATGATTTTTTTTAATGGAATTGTAGAAGCATCGAGGACTGCATTTGTAGGTGGAATGAGAACAAAAATACATTTATGGGCTACCCAGCTCTCTGAGAATCCAGGACAATGGTGAAGTACAGTTTTCTCTCTAGACCTAGCAGAAGACTGAGTGGCTTCATGCAGTGCCCAATCTAATCCCTATTTCTCAATATCCAAGACCCCAAAAAAGTAAATATATTTCCTGAACTTTGCTTCTCTTATGTATGTTCCCTGTATTCTGTTCTGTGTCTCTCTCATTGTCATCTACTAAGTCACCAAATAATAAGTGTGAATACAATAAAACCATTTCCTTTCTTTACATTATGTGGTGTGTTGGCTGCAAACTGATGAAAAGATACAAAATTATTTCACTTGTGGGCAATCTGTGGTAACAACGTGTGGAAGTCATTTTGTTGTCTTTTATTTGTATGTGAACAAAGAAATAAGAAAATGAGACAACTGTTCCGACTCATTTTAAGGGAGATATCTAACTGCAGTGTATTTTGTGCGTTCAATATATTGCGCAATGTTGTTAAATTACATGCCAGGGACTACGCATCTAAAACATCTCACCAACCAAATCCCTGTCAGCTCTGCCTCATCTGGCCTTAAAGTGTTACTAAACCCACAACAGTACAATCAGTCCTGTATATGCAGATAAAGCATGCTTGTTATACTCACTGTGGAACCTAAGGGGTTAATCCTCTGCATTGTGTAAAAAGGCCCATTTGATCCTGTATTCTCTGTTCCTCCCCTTTTTCAAGCAACCACCTCTTATCTCCTGATACTGAACCGTAGGCATTTTGCACATGCTCAGTTTGGTGTGTATTGCTAGAGAGGTTTTTTTTTTCTTGGGAGAGTGAATGTACTCAGCAGAGGGCCAATCAGCACTGGTCAGGTGAGGGTTCTGCATCCTCCTAGAGCAGAAAGAAAATGCCCTCCTACAAGCTTTAGCTAGTGCTCAGCTGGACACTGATAGAATGTCAAAAGACTGCTATATACTGCTGATGAAAAAAAGGTATTTAGCAGTTTATATTTGCTAAAATAATTGCATTTCCATGTTGATGTGTGTACTGTGGGAGACCAGACTATAGTGAATGCAGGGTCCGGGGAGACCAGATATAGTGAATGCAGGGTCCTGGGAGATCAGAGATATATTGAATGCAGGTAGGGTTGGGGAGACCGGGATTGGACTATAGTGAATGCTCAGGGTTCCGGGGAGACCGGCATATAGTGAATGCAGGGTTCAGGGAGACCAGATATAGTGAATGCAGGGTCCTGGGAGATCAGATATAGTGATTGCAGGGTCCTGGGAGACCAGATATAGTGTGAATGACAGGGTCTGGGGAGATCATATATAGTGAATGCAGGGTCCCGGGGAGGCCAGATATAGTGAATGCAGGGTCCGGGGAGACAGATTTAGTGCATGCAGGGGTCCGGGGAGACCGGATATATAGTGATGCAGGGTTTGTGGGAGACCAGATATAGTGAATGGCAGGGTCCAGAGAGACCAGCATATTTTATTAGTGAAATGCAGGGTTTTGTGGAGACCAGATATAGTGAATGCAGGGTTTGGGGAGATACAGTGGATGCACTAAAGTGAATTTTGGATTTAAAGTGATTTGTATTTTTGTTTAAATTGATTTTTCACTGGCTGTGATTTATAGCTATTGGGAGCCAGTGGTTCTCCTTGCTGCTGTCTTTGAGCCATTGCGGAGGGAGGAGAGAGCCACAGCTCTCACGGCATATCACTGGATCCTAGATCTGATAAAGTATAAGGGGGGCTGGGGGGAGCTGCATGCAGAATGTGTTTTACCTTAATGCATAGAATGCATTAAAGTAGAACTATAGGCGAGGTAAAACTTTTTTTCTTTTTGGAAAGCGTATGTGAAATGTCAGTTTATTTTTTCCATTTGTGTCTTCATTGCTGAGACTTACCTTCACCTCCTGGCCCATAGCGAAACAAAAAAGTGATAGAAAAAATCTCTGCAAATTAAGGGAATTTGTGGGGACCCTCAGGTCACTAGAACTAGTGTCCCCTTTGGAAATGTCCCCTCTATTACTTTTTTCCCAAGGGGGGACAACCCAATATTGGGGGTTTTCTTTTTACTCCCTTCACTTTCGATTATAATGGCAAAGTACAGGACCAAATATCCTTAACAGGGGGGGCAGAGCAGACCTCAGTAAAAACCTAATAGATGTTCCAATCCCTCTCCACTCTATATCTAAAACTAAAAAAAAAAAAAGTTTTGCCTTTAGTTACATTAAAACCCTTCTGCCTTTCCAAAACCACTTTTAGATTCTGTAATTTTGTTCATAAATGTTGAAGTTGTAAAACTCTCCACAGTGATTACAGGGCTGTAAAGTATCACAGACCTCTTACTAGCAGTACAAGGTATATGATCTACCATTGCCATGAGTCCTCAGCCATAATACTGACCACTATTCAGTGCATTTTTCCATAGTAGGCCCCCCTTCCCGTGTTGGAGCATTTTTTTTAATATCTTAATCATACCTGTAGCATTCCTTTAGGAGATCTTTGCTAGGTGGCCTACCCTGTGCAGTATAGCTTTTCATCCAAAAAAAGTTCAGGCAGAGAGTTTATCCCGCACACATGCTGGTTTGGACGAATTACATTCACTAACTTCATTCTTCACCCTCTCTTATTGGTCCCCTAATGCACAGTTTTTTATGGTTTTTATATTTTGATATTTACATGACGGAAACCAGCTGGGACCACCTAGATACGCAAATCTTCTTATGCGCATTTGTATATCATATAAAAACGCATCAGTGCCTCACATAGGTCTGGTCTGATCTGGTCATGTAGCCTCCACTGCTTCATAATCCATTACTACTCCCTATAGCATACGCTCTGCAATCATGATGAGCTCCCACAGGGGGCTCAAAAAACCTTACCTGTAAGCTGAATCCCTATGACTACGAGCCATAGCTCGAAAAAAGCGTCAGCGTATAGCTACAGCTGATTGACGCTACACCGCCGGCACCACGAGGTAGTCCCGGCGGCCATCCTGATTTGGTCAGTGATTACTCTTTTTATACCCATCATGCCTGAAACTTTGGAATAAAATTTCCTTGACTTACTACACTATTGGCTTCCTCTGTTTTTTGAGCCCCTGTGGGAGCTCATCATGAATTGCAGAGGGCGTATGCTATTGGAGTATGGATTATGAAGCAGTGGAGGCTACATGACCAGATCTGACCAGACTATGTGAGGGCGTCTTCTGATGCGTTTTTATGATATACAAATGCGCATAAAGATTGCGTATCTGGTGAGGTGCGCAGTCTTTACCTTATTTTATCACCTTTTTCACGTTTCCGGTTATTGGACGCCTGAAGATCATCAGCGATCTTGTTCACATTTTTTGGACTCATTTAGATTGGTTATAGATCTTTCACGATATTAGCCACATAATTATAGTGGCATATATGCTTGCACAAATGTCACCTTACTTATCTATTTATATACAAGGCTCATTCATTTGTGGATGTCTATGCGTCCGTCTGATTTCAACCACACTGTCACCTTTTGGGTATGCTCAAAATTTTATTTTTTTATTTATTTTTTTTTTTTTGCAATATATTAGTCACAGATTCTAGTTGCATATGAATCTTGCACAATGGTCCCAGCTTATTGATGATTAATTATTTATATATGAATTTAGCATATATACATTATATTTGTGATTTTTTACCAGCTCTGCACCCTTTTAGTAATATTACATTTTCATCATTCTCTGCACAAGTATGAAGGTGTTGTGGCTATGGATCAACCAGGGGGTGGGCGTCAGCAACAAACTGCACTCACAGTATGCACCTCAGTCCTCCAGGTTAGTGATGCTGGGGCCATCATTCAAGCTCAAAGACTTGACGTCATCTTGTGGAGAAAAAAAGTCACTGCAATGAGTGAAGATGAGCTTTTTATCTGGGGGGACTATTTCAAGAAATAAAAATTTAGTCTGGAGTCTGGACAGCTTTTTTTTTGGGGGAAAAAAAATAAAAAGCAAAAAACCCTTTGAACTCTCTGCAAACCCCAGGAGTTTCTATTAATTTAAGGGGGTTACAAGGGACCCCCATACGGGGAAAACAAAAAACCCTTTTCAGAAATTCAGAGGTCAATGGGCAAAGCACAGGGCCACAGACTGAGCAATCTAAATTTTCACCCCCCAAAAATTTAATTGAAATCGATTTGGTTTTTTGTTCTGCCCTCGTTTCCATTTTTCCCCGGTGAACTCGACGTGAAAAGCTAACCCTCCTATTCTCCCAATAAACCAACTGAAGTAATCTTGAAGCTTTATTAAAAAAAAACAGGGTGGGGGTGAACTATGGGAAAAACGATAAGAAATACAGACGATGGGGTGCATGAAACAAAAAAAAAAATAAAATTTGAAAAAACCCCGGCTGAAAGAGGGGCAATAAGCCCATGCCCACTCCCGGGGGGGGTTGTAGGTTTGGGCAATCAACATGCCTGAAAAGGGAAATGCTAAAAAAAAAAAACAATCTTGCAACCCTATGGTAAACCCCCCCAAAAAAAATTGCTGCTTTTCACTAAAACCCTCCCCAAATTATCCTATTGCATATTTTGCTGAAAGGATGATAGCTTGTTCCTCCCCCTCTTTTTTAAAGTTTAGATTTCTGGGGTCCCAGGATGCCCCTTTTTTCCTTTTCTCGGGAATGAGGGAGGGATGGATTAAACGGGGCCTTTAACTTCTGAAAAATAATACATTTTTTCCCGGGTTTTCCATCTGGGGCCCAAAATTTTAAATTATTCCCAGGGGGGGAAACAACAAATAAATTTTCCCCCTGCTGAAGGCAGAAAAAATTTGGTTGTGTTTTAGGCCCGTGTTTACTTTTCATTATTTAAATTAGGGTGGGGGGTGGGGGGAGGGGGGGGGGGGGGGGCGGAAATAAGCACATTAAAATTTTTTTTTTTAACCTTCATGCATAAAATTTTCACAACCCTTTAATGTGATCCCTTTCCCCTTTCTTTTCCCAGTACATAAGACTGGGGGGGGGAAAAAGGGCCCGCAAAAACCGTTTTTTTTCCCCGTGAATGTGTAGGGGAGGGGGGGCCGGGAAAGGACGGGGTTCTAATCAATGGAGGAAAAGCACGTTGGGGTTCCCCGGCAAAACCCTAGGGGCCTGCCCCGCAGTGTGTTTAAATTGGCTGTTGTGGTCATTTTTTAAAATAGGAACGCAAAAAGGAAATGGAAAGGAAAACCCAGGGTTTTTCCCCCCAAAAAAGGAAACAATAAAAAAGAGAACGGGGTTTCTTCTTCATAAAAGAACAGGGTTTAACCGGGCACATATCGGAAGGGTGAAAATTTTGGTTTAACTTTCTCTTTAAATCTTTTGGGTGCTCACGGGCACGCAAAATATGCACCCCCTTTTCGGTGGGGGGACCTTAATGCTGAGAGGCCCGGGCCACTTTTGGGGCATCCCCCAAAGTAAACAGACCTGTGCCAAGACCC